TACAGTATATCAAATCTATTTATCTATCTATCTAGCTATATATATATATATATATATATATATATATAATCTACAATATATATATTACTGACATTAATAGACATTAATGCTAAGGTGCTTAAAAATGTAAAAATTGTCAAAAACAACTACTTTAGCTGTTGATTCTCTTTGTAATTATTATCACATCCGAGGTTAATTGATGCAGCAGAACAGTTTGTATAAGATGGCAGAAGCTTTATTGATTGTAAAAAAGAAACCTTTGTACTTTTCATGGCAGAAGGGATCAATTGTAGTGCTCAGACAACAAAGAAAACCGAAAAGAATCAGAATAATAGTGAAAGCTGCAGAAAAGTATCTTGAAGTTAGAAATTTAAACTGAGAAATAGTTGAAAGTATGATGGGAAAAAGAGAAGGACCATAAGAAACTGGCAGAGTGACGATAACTTAAAGATAAATTAGAAATTAGGAGGATGAATTTGATTAAATAATCATTATGTCGTGTTAAGTTAAACAGTTCGGGAAAATATTTAAAACATTTTTATTTATGTAATTTTCTGGGGGTGAGTCTTGTTTCCTGTTTCCTTATTAACTCCGTATCAGTTGGTGGCGGTAATGCATTTTTAACTAGTTTGCCAAGCGCCATAAAACCTTATAGGAAGAGAAGAAGAATCTCTGTCGGTTGCTAGGGGAAATGTCCACAGCAACAGAACAGCTTGGGGAGGGGCTGGGGCATAACACGTGAATGGCAGTTACATTAACCAATCATTCGTCGACAAAAGAAGAGGTGACCAATAAAAACGCAGAAAAAGCAACTGACGTTAGAGTGAGCGATAGGACCCTGCCAGGTAGCAGAATTTCTGCAAGAAGCACCGAAGCGGAGAAATAAATGGTAATCCAAAAATTAGCCTTCTCCTAGCATCTACAAACTGTTGCTAAGCGAGTCTTTTGGTTTTATTGCTCATAGTTTCGAGCTTTTAAATGACAATTATTCTGTCGAACTGGATCTTGTTGTTACATCCTCCTCTAGCTGCACAACCATGAGAACATTAGTTAGCCATCTAGCGGTTTGATGTCTTTCTCAGCATCTCAACCCTCAAATGTTTGAATGTCTGACATGTTGACTCAACATCGAGGCATCATAAAAGGAAGATTCGTGTTTCCAGTGTGTGAATTAATGGTTGTTTGTATGGGAGCCGCTATCGAAGCTTTCATAACAAACAAACAATCTCCCAATGCTCAAATGTATCTGTTTTTTTAGATCCACTATGCGGGACCTGTTTCTGCAGTAGCATGGAAAAGTACGAAAAGGTGGAACAAATCGGGGAAGGTTCATTTGGAAAGGCCATCCTGGTGAAATCTAGAGAGGATGGACGACAGTTTGTCATCAAGGAGATTGGAATATCTGGGGTATGGTCTTAAAATGATTATGCATGTTTTATTTTGTGCAGATCTGAGCCAATATTGCCTCTTTTTCATATTTATAATAATAATTTTTTTAAATCTTTTAATTTCTTTGAACAGATGTCCAGTAAAGAGAGGCAGGAATCTCGGAGAGAGGTTGCTGTTCTTGCCAACATGAGTCATCCTAATATCGTGCAGTATAAGGAGTCTTTTGAAGGTATTTTTCACACCCAGCAGTTTATCTGAATAATCCTTTATTCATTTTGATCACAATATTGTTATTTGTTTTTTAACTTTTCAGAAGGAGGGTGTCTGTACATAGTCATGGACTACTGTGAGGGAGGGGACCTTTTTAGAAAGATCAACTCTCAGAAAGGAGCACTGTTTTCAGAGGAACAAGTAAGACGCATTCACTTAAAATACTTATTAAGAAGCACCTTGTTGAGAGGTTGGAACTTTTATCAGTTTCCTTTTTTGTTTTTACCTTGATACACTATTAAAAAAAAAAAAAATTGTTAAAGTCATGACCTACAGATACCAGGTTTTTGTCAGATTATCATTCCTTTTTCTAGAACAATAAATACCAGGAAATAATTTCTCCACAAGAGCCCAAACCTACAGTGTTTCTCTCAGCATGCCTCAAATTTACAAATGCCATAAAATTATTCAAGTTATAAGAGTAATATTTACACAAATGATTCTTCATCTAATTTAAAAAAGAAAAAAAAAAAAGCAGTTCATAGACCGCTAACTTTTTTTTGTCCTATATGTGTGATGAGGTGAAGAAGCTCCAATTTACACTGCTTCATTAAATCTATCATTCCTTAACCATACAGGCCCCTTAAGAAGCTCCTCTGGTCCAGATCTTTAATAACTTTGATTAGAACCAGATACATAAATATGAATTTCATTATATTTCAAAATAAAAGGCAAAATTCTCAGTACTCAGTTTAGATTTTTTTAAAGAGCGTATGTAAGCATTTCAAACGACTTATTACAATTAGCCTCACTATAGGCTTAGCAGTAAATGTCAGTTTTGAATGTCATTTTTCCTCGATGTATTAGTGAATCTAATTCGGTTTTGATATAAAAAAAATGGACCACTTCCTTTCACCTATATATGCAGATTGTTTTTGTTGATCTTTTTTGTTTGGTCATCTTTTACTCGTCTTTTTTCTCTCTCAGATCCTAGATTGGTTTGTGCAGATCTGCCTGGCACTGAAGCACGTACATGATCGGAAAATTCTCCACAGGGACATTAAATCTCAGGTATTTTCCTTTTGCCTAGCTGGGTCTCTTCTTAATAAATCCAGTATGTAGAATTGCTTATTTCATTTTTTTTTTTAATTAAAACTCTTTTCCAGAATATATTTTTGACCAAGGAAGGGACAGTTCAACTTGGAGACTTTGGGATTGCGAGGGTTCTGAACAGGTATGTTCAGCAGTTTATTTCCAGCAACTTTCGGTAAAGAAAGAAATGTTTGAATTGTAAGAAAAGATACATCAACCTTGTTTGCCTCTTTTTTTTTCTTTAAAATTTTTGTTTTGTCTATTGCAGCACTGTTGACCTGGCGAGGACATGTATAGGGACACCATATTACTTATCACCAGAGATCTGTGAAAACAAACCGTACAACAATAAAAGGTACTTGATCATTGCTAAAATTAAGAGTTAGTAGTTTGTCCTACTTGTCATGAAAAGATCTGATGAACAATCCTGATCTTCCCATCCAAGTCTTCCAACATTATCCCGTAGTTTGATCAAGCTAGGAGGATAACGGGTCGTTAGCCTCTCATTGGCTTGTTTACATTCACAGTGGAAGCTGATATTGATTTCCTGATCAATTTTAGGTTCCATGTCATCCGATCCACTTTGTTTAAAGCTCAGAGTTCTTTTTTTAGCTCTTTAAGTTTGATTAGAGGTTAAATTTGTTATACTGTCAAAAGCATGGTGACTCCTGTGTGAAATGGTTACCCTACAAAATGAATGCAGAGTCAGTCTAAAACCTCTCCCTGTCATTCTGTATTCTTGTTGTGGTCTCATATTTCCCTCCTTTCCTTCCCTCCGCAGTGATATTTGGGCCCTAGGGTGTGTACTCTATGAAATGTGCACTCTTAAGCATGCAGTAAGTATTATTTGTGAGCTAGCTGTTAACATATTAAGATCCATCTAATGCATCATGTCCAGAATTGCTGTGGTCGTGTTTTACCCTGGGGAGCCTAGTTATAATGCTAATGCTACCCTTATCCCTAATACCTGGTTGTTGCTATGGTAATCATAATTGCTCTTCCCGTAGTTTGAAGCTGGTAACATGAAGAACTTGGTCCTGAAGATAATTCGTGGCTCTTACCCTCCTGTATCGGTTCACTACTCCCAAGAGCTGCGCTCCCTCTTAGCACAGCTTTTTAAACGCAATCCCAGAGAGAGGCCTTCGATCAGCAGCATTTTGGACAAACCTTTCCTTTCGTGTAGGATAGAAAGGTTTCTCACACCACAGGTATGGTGCAACCTTTGCTCTCGGAAGTTGCCGTTACTTTCCGACATCCTGATGTTATCCTCAGAGGGGAAAAAATGGAGCCTCTTTTCCCCTTTCAGATCATCGCTCAGGAATTCCGCCACACTTTTCTTCACAAGCAGCCTAAAATGGGTGTAGCACAGGTGCCGTCAGGTAAGGAAAGTCCTCACAGTGCCGTTTCTCCCAGTTACCTGTAAGTTTCAACTGTTTATTTTAGCCAGGATTGAGTGATTTGATCAAACAGAAGAGCTTTGATCATCTTAGGTTTTGTAGAGTATTACTCTGAAGCGCTATTGATGGATGTACCTGCAGCCTTTGATATTTGAAGTTTAGTTACCTTGTTGTTAGCCTTAAGCAAGTTTCCATATGCATTTAAATCAACTTAAATTGGACGAACTAATCCTTTTTCTCTTTGGATTTTCTAACTTCAGCCCAGAGGATTACAAAGCCAGCGTGTAAATATGGAGTGCCTTTAACGGGAAAGAAGGTTAGCGGTGGAGCCAAGAAGCCTTCAGAGAGGAAGGCTGCAATCAAAAACAAACCGGTGAGTCTCTGTCCCCGCTGGTTGCTTAGAAGCCATCGAAATGTCAGTGGGTTTTTCCCATGTATTTAAGTCACGCTCTGTTAGCAAACTCTGAAGCCACATGTTATGTCGCTCAGGCCCTTCTCCCAGCAGCTCCTCAAAGAAGGATCAGTCAAGTGGAGGAAGACAGAAAAAAGCCCGAGGTACAGCTTAGTGCCCCTTTTAACTTGTCTTCTTTCTAAATTTCCCTTTTCCTTCCTTCATCCACCCACACATGTGGGTTACTTCCTGCCAGCATTTTCAGTTTCCCCTGCCATTGCACCTGATCCCTGCCCTCACTCGGTATCCCTACAACCGGTCCATTCGGAGCGTTCTTCCTGATTTCTTTTGCCCTTTCCTAACCAGCTGTTCCCTCTTCGTCTGCCTGCTCTGTGACGAGGCAGTCCTGCGTCAGCTGACCTCTTTGGGGATCTGTTCAACACGTCTTAAACTTTCAGGTGCTTCTGTCTCTTCCTCAGGATGGCATCAGAAAGAAAAAGATGGACCCGCTGGAAAAGGAAAGGAGGCAGGGAGAGCAGGTAAGCTTTGCATTAAGTCTGTATTAATAATGTAAAATTAATGTTTCCAGTTTTTCTTTTTCTCATCTCTGTCCTTCACAGATGTTCCCATTGAAAGCGGAGCAAATGAAGAAATATGAGAAGGAAAAGGTGAGCAGTATTTTTGTTTTGTTTTTCTATTTTGGGATGTTAAAACTAATAACTTGATTCTACTTCATTGAGATTTTATTTCATAGATTTACCGAAACTGGCTCACAATGGTGAGCAGGAAGAAAAAGTTAATGTTGCTTAATTTGTCTGTATAATTCAAGGACTGCGCTTAAAGGGGAAAACTGTTTTTTTTTACATCACTGTCCCCCAGACATCCTCAGTTATATTTTTAAAAATCAAAGCGGAGCGTGTATGACTGGAGTTGTGACAGGCAGCCCGGGCCACAGGCGGCTACGCCCTACCCCTTCTATTCATTCTAGCTAATCTGAATCGTTCAATTCCAGTTCGAGAGCGAGATCATTCTGTAAAAAATCTGTGAAATACGTAAAAATTTTTTACATTAAGTGTGTTTACCCTTGATTTGAATAGGTAAATGAGAGTTTGCCAATGGAACTAGTATTTTTACTCTTAAAATAAGATAATTCAACAATATGCACTAGAAATAAGACAATCCAATTGTGTTTTTTTTATTTTAAATGTAAATCGTCTTATTCCATTGGCATTATGTCTCCTATATCTCCTTAATTCAAGAACAAATGCACTTATTTTAAGAGAAAATGGCTTATCTAGATTTCTATTTTTTCCAGTGTAGCAGTAGACAGCCTCCAGGCATGTGAGTAAAACTAGCAGCAGTTCGGCGGACAGGATGAATCAATGGTAGCCGGCGCGCGGATTATGTCATACACACTCCGCTTTGATTTAAAAAGATATAAAATATAACCGCGGATGTCTGGAGGACAGTGATTCGCCTACATGTTATGAATGCTGGCGAAACATAAAGAATAAATTATGAACAGTTTAGTTTGTGCCTTGAAGTCATTGCCCAAAGGAAGACATTACTTGGATATAACCTAACGGAACATCTTTAGAACTGCTCCAAATGACACAAAACTCATATGAGTGAGTAGAACATGATGTAATAACGTAAAAGGCTTATGAAGTTTATAAAGTACACCAAATAGATTTTCAGCTGTGTGAACCTTAAATCTGATAAAAGTTTACAGTTTGTTTCAGGACAGGTATGCCATTCGATTTGTAGCCTTTTTTGTAGTTTATGATGGTTCTACAAATAAGGGATAATGGGTCAGTAGACAAAAATATTTAGATGTTTGTCAAAATCCCAGGAAGCTATTTTATTTTAACCTAGGGTTGTCAAAAGTATCGATACTGAAACGTTGTATCCAGATACAATACTCATTTTTAAAAGTATCGATACAGTGCCACCACCAGTGGCACCTAAACAGTCATTCATCTAAAGTGCAGAATAGAGGAAAATGCACTTTCTGAACAATGTGTGATTGAATAATTCTGTGCACTTTTTAGTTTCAGACTTTTTTTGCAACAGGTAGAGCTGCTGAGAATTATTTTTGTTTCTTAACCGGTTTGGCTAGTGTCATTGTTATGTGTGCAAAGCATAGCCAAGTAAGGAAAACTTAATTTTAATTTTATGTTTTTTATCAAGCTTGCTTAATACTGTGCACAGCAAACAACCTCATAATATTCTTCTTAATGTTTATTGTATTTATTTATTGTATTTAAGTTTTAATCAAAATATTTCTGTTTTTATTCTTGTTGTATCGAAAATGGTATCGAGTATTGAATATTTTCCTTAATATCGGTATCAAATTGAAAAGTTTAGTATCGTGACAACCCTATTTTAACCACCACCTCTCAATCCTGCACTTTTTTTAATTCTAATACATATAACATCTATTGAAGTATACAAAAAATACAGTAATATAGCAAAATGTTACGACTTTTGAAACGCACTTTAAAGGTTCTATGTGTTCACAGACTGAAATTCACTATTAAATTGTGATTTGATCATAATAAAAGTCAAGATCTTTGATGCCTTACAGATCAGTCGAATAAACCAAGCCAGGGAACAAGGCTGGAAGCATGTCTTGAGTTCAAGTGGCGGCAGCAGTCCGGAAAGGAAGGTAATGCACACGAAAATATGGTAATATTTTATTCATTATTGTTTAAGTTAAATTGGCGTATATCCTTCAGTAATACAAGTTTGGCTCATACTCTTTTGTATTCAGTGTTTTGTGGGAGGTAAAAGGCCTGTGGGTGTCCAAGCTTCTGTTTTGGGACGCTCTCCGGCCCTTAGCCACAGCAAGAGCACATATGAGCACTACTATGCTGCTCTGGACCAAATGGCTAAATCCCAGCCCAAAGACGGCAGCAGGGAGGGATCCTCAGCAGGACCTGGCAGTCCCCTTAGGTAAGTGGTCAATATTTTGGATGTGAAACACCTGAGTGATATTTTCTCTAACTAATCCCTGTTCACATTTGGTGGCCATATTTATTCTGTCCCGTTGAGTGAATATTTATACCAACTTTTTGTGGCAAAAGTTGGAGCTGCATCTGCATTTTGCCACAGTACAGTTGCAGAGCTTGTGGGGCTTGTATACTTGCTGATGGTGTTGTTTTAGTCACTTTTCAGCCTGAAAAGAATTTGACAATGTTCGTTTGTTGCACCTGCTGCACAATGTTGCACACTATCGCCATCTGCTGGCAGTACTAGTTCATGGACTAGTACTATCAAGGAAGTAGCAACCAATATTTATTTCTTTTTTTACATTTTTGCACTCTCATTCTTGGACATTTTTCACATCTCCACTGGGAGATATGTGGCTCCATTACTTCCTTGTTTTCTCATTGAACACCTACTCCCATAATGTTACTTGTCTTGTTATGGTAAATGCCAAAAAAGCTGGGACTTACTGGAGCAATGACAAAGTCTAAAACCAAAATAAAATAAGCTAACGGTTTGCCATCATTTAATAGGAAAGTGAGCTACTGGTGAGAATGTTTAAGTAGTGTTTTTTAATTATGTGATATCTTGGTATATATATGAAGAAATGGCACAACAGGGTAACTAAAGGATTACTATTTCTTTTTTTTCCTGACACAGCTGTCCAATATTCTCATTCTTGCTGATAACCTAAGCTAACCTACCTTCTACTGGGTAGAGAAGGCAGTCTGTCTAAATTGATGAAAGAATAGTTTGTCTTCTTGCCACACAGCCCTGACAATCTGTTCTGTTTAATTTGAAGCAATAAGCTCTAATAATAAGCTCCTTCTGTTTTGGGTCTTTAAAAAAACATTGTGACAGTGTGCATGACCCGAGGAGAAAATGGTGCATTACTTTACACACAAGTAAAACCAATTACCGATTTGGTGACCTTTTGAAGGTGGTTGGTTTGATTTTATTTAAGATTAATAAATGAAAGGGGGTTGAACATTAAGCAGTTTTTTTTTTTCTTAGTAAATTCTGTTAAAACCATTCGTCTGTGTCCTTCTACCTCGCAAGACGTTGTGGTTAATTATAGAACCTCGGAAGATTTGATTGCCGATTATGGTGGTAACATGACAAATGGTGTAAAAAGAGATTCCCCCGTGTTCCGCAGAGGTGTACCAGCAGCTGCCGGCCCAGTACTGCCTAACGGATCTGCCCATCAACTGAACTCTAATGCAATCAAAAGAGAACTTCAGAGGTTGCACCATGTTTCGAAACACGCTCAGATTAGCCGGTTAGTCCACCCGTCACATTCTGATAAAAATAACCAGTACCACCAGATGATCTCTGGGTTAAAACAATGATCTCTTCTATCTGCTAAGGTGTTCTGTTTTCAGGCAGCGTGGTCAGATACCAGCTGAACGAGCCTTTCAGGTCGAAGAATTTCTGCAGAGGAAGAGAGAGGCAATGCTCAACAAAGTGAGAGCTGAAGGACAGCTGGTAGGTAACAAAATATGACCAATGAGATTTAAAAACGTTTAGGTAGAAATCTAAGAGACTTGTATAGAATAAAATGGATCATTGCATAGAGTTAAATTGGTCATTGGATGTTAAGTATTCAGCTTTCTTTCTGCTGGATGTTTCTGAAAAAGCCTTTAACTGAAAACCAGCAATCCCATCAGATGCAGGGTGTTTGTTTTAGAGCAATACTGTCTATGTACTGAAGCTTTTCCAGCTTTCCTTTACTGTAGTAAATTTTAAAGTTCAGATTTATGAAGCCCGTTTTCTCCCAACAAAGGCTCTTTTTTTCTTTTAAACTGAATATTTCTGATTGGAGTGTTGGATTCATAGATCCAGCCTCTGGATGTTGTTGTAGTCGGAGGCTGGGGCCTGCATCCTGCTAAAATATGGCTAACTTAAATACTAAACAGGGTACTCGACAAAATCTGGCTGCAATCTATGGGAGCCGGGCCGGTGCGGCTCGATGCAGGCGACCTAAAGTCAACAAAGAGGAGGAGGTAGGAGTCAGGACCTGAATGCCCAGCCTGATGCCTCCCTTACTAACAGCACGTCTACCTTCCCTGCACAAAACCCCTTGCTATTCAGACATGAGTCCACCCACCATTTCAAAATCATGCTCCCTCCATGCGTCATGTTCGATCTTCACCATCATGTTTGATCAGTGGATGTCTCCCTAAAAATGCCTGTTGTTGTTTTTTTTAAATAATGTCTTGTTTGTAATACATGAGGTCATTCTTCTTGGAATGATGTTTGCAGCTTTTCTTTTGGTTATGTCTGTTTGTCTTATTTGCCGTTCTAACAGTGTGCTCACAATGCTGCTAAGCATGTTTATGCGAGGATTTATGTTTGTGATTATTTATGCATGAGTTTTTGTCACTCTTCATGAAAGATTGATTTGTTCTCAGGAGTACCTGGCAAGACTCAGGCAGATCCGCTTGCAGAACTTCAATGAGCGTCAGCAGATCAAAGCCCGGCTGAGAGGAGAGAAGGTACACACCTACACACTAGGAGTCTCAAATGTGGCTGTAATGAGACTTCTTCTGTTCTGATTACCCCACTGTGTGTCGTCTGTGTTTCAGTACGACAGTGACGGCTCTGATAGCCAGGAGTCAAATGAGGAGGCAGAGCAAAGGAGAAAAAAAATAGAGGTTTTAAAAGTGAGTCTGCAACCAGTTTAAAGCCAATGCTTATTATTTATTTCAGTGTAAAGGCATAGGTTGTCTAATAAAAACTTAGGAGTATCTCTAGATGACTTTACAACAATCAGATGAGAGTTTGTTTAATTCTCTTTAACATTGTGGGGTCCTGGTTAAAGGTTTGGATAAGCTCAGGGTGTTAATTATTATAGGCATTTAAGCCCTTATTTCATTTTATTTATTTATTTTGGACGAAGTGGTTTATGTTCAACAAAAAAAACTACAATGAGTTCCAAACAGATTTAAGTCCAAATCTGAATTTCCTTTCTTTTTTTTTCTCTCCTTTTAACAGTTTTCTTTTTCCAAAGAGGTTTAAAAACAAAAGTTATGTATATAACTGCAGTTCTAGGAATCCCGGAGGACCACTGGAGGCCGGTGCTGAAAGCACTGAATGTTACTTTCCCGCACGCAGTTTGAGTAATTATACCAACATGGTCATACCTGTGGCGCCCTGGATGACCACCTAGAAGCTATATTTGCTGGTGACATCTAGGGCTCAGTTCCCACAGAATCTTCTCACAGAAGCAAGAATTCTGAGCGACAGAGAATTTCTGGCTATCATTAAGGATTCATAGAACCTTAGTTACATTCTTTCATCACTACTGACCACCAGAGGGCTGTGGTGAAAGCACTGAATGACTAATACCAACCATGTCATGAGGATTCCTCGGAACATACTGTACCTCACTGAGGATGCCCAGGCGAACCTCATAAAGAACCTGGCCCTGCGTTATAGAACCTGGTGAATGTGCTTGAAACCAATGATGCTGCAGCACATATGGCCTCCAGTAAAACCCCACTAATAGCAGCCCAGGAAGCAGAGATGCTCCTTGTAGTGTGGGCCCTCACACCGACCGACAGCAGGCGGTGCTCTGAAATGTAGGCATGGTAGATGACATCCACAATCCAGTGGGATAGACGTTGTTTTGAAAGGGGACGGCCTCTCTTGGAACCTCCATAGCACACAAAAAAAGCTGCCCTGAGTTCCCTACAGTTGTAGTCGCAGCGACTATATGCCTTCAGCAGCCATATAGGGCAAACTCAAACCCCTCCTCGGTCATTCCAGACTGGTTGAAACCAGGCCAAACTCAACAGCCACATGGGGCCACACCACAAAAGCAGTGTTGGGCCATAAGGTAACACCAGACCTATTTGGATCCCATTGGAGACATGAGGGACAGACAGACAGGGTATGTAGCTCAAAAACTCTCTTAGCTGAAACGGTGGCTAACAAAAAGGCAGTCTTATATGATAGCCACTTGAGGTCCGCTTGCACCAAGGCCTCAAAAGGGGAACAGCACAATGTGTTGATAACCAAAGGCAGATCCTATTCAGGTACTCAAGGAGCAATCAGCAGGCACAACCTACGAGCACTGAGCAGAAAAAGAGACCAGACTTTGACCTCCTACCGGACGGTCATTGACAGATGCATGACGATATGAGATGCTGCCACATACACCTTAAAGGTCAAAGGAGAGTGACTCTTATCAAGAAGTGACTGTAGAAACTCCAAAACAGAAAATACTGGGCAGGAAACTGGTTCCTCATTGTGGGCCGAGCACCACTGAGAAAATGGAAGCTATCTATTGTTGTATTGCTCCCAAGTGGAGGGTGCCTCAGCATTCAATATGGTGCCCTTGACATAGGCTGAACAGTCAGTCAGCCTCCCAGTGGCCGTTGCCACAGCTGGAGATGTTATGGGTTGGGGTGCTACATCCATCCCCCAATCTGAGGCATCAGATCTTTCCTGGCTGGAAGACGTACCTGGTGAAACAGATTCTCCTTGAGAACCCTCTGTAGAGTAGGCCAAATCAGTGAGAGGGGTGGGAAAGCGTTCAGGAGAACCTGACGCCCCTGTCAGGAAATATCACAAAGGGCAATGGGTTGATTTCTATGTGGCAAACTGATCCACCTCTACTTGACCAAAGCTCTCCCAAATCATCTGCACCAGATTGCAGTGAATGGACCACTCTCCCAGAGCAGGGCATAGCAGGACAGAGAGTCTGCAAACTGATTGTGCACCCCAGGTAAATGCATACCGGCCACGAACCTCTCTATGTTGCCACACAGTGCTCCAGCCCGTGTTACAGGCATCTGTGGTGACCACATCTCTGCAGTAAACCACAGAGACATCCTTGGAGTAGTAAGTGGTGTTTCACCATAGGGCCTGGGCATGAAGGCACGTCCACATGGCTGTGCAATGCCTGTGCAGGATGTCGTCCAGAGGAAAGCTGTTCAGCCACCTTTGAAAGGGCACAGCACGGTTACAGAAGTCAGTTTTCCTTGCATCTGCAGGGAGGTGCTGTAGGGAAACCGCCCGCCCAGCTTGAGTATGGTGAAACTAAAAAAGCTAAAAACTTTTGCCCTATCCATGACATGAAGTCTGCCAGACTGGGTTGAAGTGAAAACGCTGCTGCACCAGTCATAACAAAAAAATGACAGCAATGACAGCAAGCTGCAATAAAGTCACGGTAATGACAAGCTGTGAGCTCGCCGTACGAAGATCAACCTGTTGCAGGTCTAGGAGGGCGAAATTCCTGCAGCTTCAGCTGTTAGCCTGGCTATGATATCTACTGACAAATCTGGCCTTTAGAGGACACTAGTGATGGGTTAATGAGGCGTCTGAAAGCGTTTTGATACATTGCCAAACTGTATTGATACTGTGTTTATATAGTCTCAGAGAATACTGACACCTGCTGGTTCTTTAAAGACACTACAGGCAGCTTATTTGACAGACTAAACTGAATTGATTTGATTACCTAGTACAATTATAATTTAAGTTATTTTAGGTTATATTGTATTGTTTCATAACTATGTTTAAATTGAAAATATCTTTGATATTTTTAGATGGAACCAATAAAAAATTTAATGATAATGTAAACATAGCATGAAAATTTAGGGGAACCTGAATGAGGATGCTTGTGGACAAGGATTTTAAATCATATTTTCAAAACAATAAGTACAGTAAAAAACGGTAAATAAAATAAGAGTCAATTTGAAATTATTCTATGGGCTCGACTCATGCACCAACGCATCGATGTTACCTGACCCATCACTAGAGGACACAGCCACTGGATCCGAACACATCCATAGCTTCTGACTTGTCATCCAAGTGTGACTGTCTGTCAAACTAGGCCTGTACTAAGGGAACATTCAGTGCTGTAAGCACCACCCTGTGGTGGTCAGTAGGGATGGAATAGAACTGCACACACAGTCTGGAATACCCTACAAAGAAAGGACTGTCTATTGATTTAAAAAAATCCCAGGAAGAAGCTACTCAAAGTGAAATGATCCTTCCATGCAGCAGTTTTATTTTTCTTGACGAGGTTTCTAGATTTTAAGATTTTTGATTTTAGAAATAAGCATGTTGAACAGTTAAAATAAAAACTATATTTTAGAACAAGCAACTATTCTAGATGTTTTTTTTTTTTGTTTTTTTTATCTTGGTAAGAACCAAATTTGCAGTCTCTAAAAACACCCTGACTGACACTTTGGCTCTGCAGCCTTAAGATGTGCTTCCATGTTAACACACCTGGATCATTAGCAGAGCGCTGTGTAACTTGTTCTTAGTTAGTCATTTCATTCAGGTGTGTAGGGCAAGGAACATATTGATCATAAACTTTGTATACGGTCTTTGTTGACATTTTGTACTCTCCACAGCTTATTCCAGATAATGTGCATGTGGGTGTGTGCACAGTGAATCATATTCTTATTTATTAAATAATAAGAAATTCTATGTTTCATCATAATTTTGAATCTTAACAAAGACCGTAACTTGTTAAGTTAATGATATTAATGTATGCGTCTGTATCTGTGTAACCATATAAGGCTCAGGCAAACGCCCGTGTTGCTGTACTGAAAGAGCAGCTGGAGAAGAAAAGGAGGGAAGCAAACGAGAGAGAGAAAAGAGCCTGGGAGGATCATGTAGGCATCACACTTTTTTTTTTTTTTTTTTTAGTGCTGATTGACTACAACCTGGTCTGAAAAATAAATGTTTTTTGTTGAAGCTTGCTGCGAGTCGAGGTGCCAGATGTGGCATTGCTGCTGGACCAGCATCCTCTGAATGTCCTCCTTCACCAGCCGCTCCATCCCAGCCTGACCAGGCTGTCAAAGCTGCAGCCCTGCCCACATCCAAACCCTCCAGCCCTCCTATTTCCATGACCGCTGCCCTGGAGAACGTCGGGGCGGTCAGTTTACATTCACACACAGCTGTAGTGATGCCTTTATGCAAAAGTTGACTTTATTTCTTACCAATTTACAGATTACTCCGCTAAAAGAAAACCTGAATGAGACTGAGACGGCAGTGATCCAGGTTTGTTGGTCGGATTCAAAATGAATACTACTTTATGTAATCTGGGTTTGGAGAGGGACAATTCTGCTGATTTTTCTGCACATCAGAGTGAAAAGAAGCAGATTCTGCGCAGACTAAACCAGAACCTAAAAGCCCGCAGCCCAGTGGATGAGCTGGAGGAAACCCCTCCAGTGCCTTCAGAACCAAGTGTGGAGCAGTCTGAGGCAGAGAAACTACCACCTTCAGATGGAGATCGGAAAAAGTGGGAAGTGGCGGAGCTCCCTCTGCTCCCCGTTCCTCAGCAAACCCTTGGGGAGACGTGCTCTACATCAGGCAGTGAGTTTAAACTCAGTTACTGAAAGTGAAACTGTAAATGGGTCAGTTTGCCATTTAGCTCTACACTTTCAATACTTCATCAGTTTACGTCTTTCTTTTTGTTTTATTAGCCACTATAGGATCTCCTGAGCAACGGCCATCCTCTGGAGACAGGAAGAAGTGGGAGGCAGGGGCTCCTCTTGTCCTCTCTGTTGCCCAGCAAACACTTGAAGAGACATGCATCCCAACCATTGGTTAGCATCCACTCTATAGGGAGAACATAGGAGCTAGAAAACCCTTCATTTTATTTTTATCCTGTTTTTTTCTCTCAGAGCAAACCCTGGGGGAAGTCATAAAGATGGGTGAGCTGCAGGACGACAGTCCTGGGAAGATGTGGGAAGAGAGTCCAGTGTGTGATGGGCTGAAGGGGCTTCAGGGTGCAGCTCTTCAGCCAGAGATTGCTGCAATGTGTAAGCTGTTTTTTTCGGTTTTTCTTTTTTTCTAGTCTTTGTTTATTGCGTTCGACTTGCTGATTAGTTGTCAATACGTATTTTATAGATCATATCAAGAAGAAAGCTTGTGCAGCTTCCATTTGATCCCAGTAAAGCTTTGACCTTCCGTAACACGATTCTGATCTCTTTAGCATCTATAAAACACACGACACTTTATTTTACACTTTTAGGATGATTTTAAATTTTATTACATACCGGTAAATCATAAAATGTTTGAAATACAATAAAATGATTTCACTAAACCAGCTCTGATGCAGAGCTGTCTCTCCCTGTTTAGTTGAACTCTTAAATAAGTCAATTCCTGCAGGATTAGCTAGCATTTTATGAAACTCAACTATAAAATGCCTCTTATACCACTTTCTATTAAAGATTATGGTTTGAAATATTTTTTATTTATTTAAAAGTTTGTCCAATTTTTTTATCAGTTTATAAAATTTTAAGGTCCTTTTTTCATGTTGTAAGAGTGGTCAATCATACAGCTGCAAAATAAATGCAGATCTTACATTTCAAAGCATCTTAATTAACATATTAAGAAAAAAATAGCTTTGCTGAAATACATTTAGTTTGCTGGTATGTTGAACAGATGCCTCACACATTTTGGGCTTCTTCTATCTTCACATGTTTTCTTTACCGATGCAATCGGTGCCTTCTGCTTCCTCCTGCAGTAACTATTTTCGCACTGAAATAAACCATTATGTGTGTAAAAAGATGAGCCTCAATAAAAATAGAAAGTTCAGCTCACCTACTACTTTCCAATCTGTCAGATTTTTATACATGCTTGTCATCATTTTGTATTTACTCCTTTCTGTGGGTCCCAGATGAAAAGACAATGATGCTTTCATCTCCCAATATAAATGTCTGGTTTCTGTTGCAGCTGACAGTGGGAAAATGCCCAGAGAAGAGTTCAACTCTGCTGCTGATCAGAGACCTACAGATGGAAACCAGGATTCAGACCAGAACGCACCAGTTGCAAAAGCATCGCCGTTGCCCAGCCATACTTACAGTCAGGGTCAGACATCACTTCACTTAATTTTAATTACCATTCACACGTTTCTTTGTTTTTAGCACATTCAAATCCTGTTTTGGATAAATTCTCATTAGATACAGCTGACGTGGAGTCTGTGATTTTGGAGGAAAGTCCGAAACAAACATCAAATCCACCAGCTGCTGTTCAACAAGCTTGGGAACAGGAAGCCCAAAAGCAAATGTGAGCACAGATGTATATATTTTAAAGTTGCTTTTTTTGGGGTGTTAAAAGCATAGAGAACACATGTATGTAGATTTTTTTTTAAGGCTGCAGCAAAAACGCATGTTTAATTTGTTAATGGTTTGTATTTATTTATTTTTACTGGTATTTTTCTTACAGGCCAGAAGGGGGCGACGTAAGACCAACAGGCACTCAGGATGTTGAGAAAACTTTAGAAAAACCAACTGAATCCTCATGTAAGGTCAATGCATACTGATTCAGACCTTTCTGTTTTTAATGGCATCATAATCCTGATTAAATCCGCCATGTCTTGGTTCTCAGCAGGTTTAGCTCAGCATGAGGAGCCCCTGTTCCTGAAGTGCTCGCCAGCCCACAGACGGACCGCTGCCCTCGCTGCACTGTCTGCCCAGTCCTCCATGGATGAATCATCCTCCTCCCTGGCCTCACGCTCACGCTCGGTCTCACCTTTGCGCTCCAAGAACCAGAACGCCCTCCTCATCGGTCTCTCTGCAGGCATGTTTGACGCCAACAACCCAAAGGTGATTAAATATGCAGCTCTTAAAGACATTGTGTGTTTAAGGACAACCACGCTTCCGCTCCACGCGATAAATCATCTATAAGAGTCCTCTGCTTCAAATAGGGGGGGAGGCTGAGGAGAAGTCGGAGCCATTAATCATTTGTCTAAACACCCAGTGGGCTTAAACTATCGACCTGTCTTTTCATAACTTCTGTTAGTGACTCAGCGGCACGACCAGCTTCAAAACTAGAACATTCCCACCAAAGAAGTTGACATGTAAACTTTTTACAGAACTGCTGTCTGTATCTTTTGGGATTTTATGAAAAAGAAAAAAGAAAAAAGGTATTCTGTTCCTTTACCTCTAGCTCTGCCATGAATTTTTACCATTAGATGCTGCGAACCTGCTCCTTACCCGACCTCAGCCGACTCTTCAGCCCTCAGCTGGACTCCGCTGTAACTAGCAAGGCTAATGCTTCCCCAGACAAAGACCTGGAAACAGAGGATCTGGAAGAAGCTGTTAAAGATGACGACCAATCAGATGCTGAGGAGTAAGTAACACATATGAATTTATTCATTTATTCCATGGGAAGCTAAAGTTTTGTTTTTTATATAAATAGACCAGGTCAGTCTAATGCTTAAGTGGGAATCGACAGGAATACTTTTGTTGGGTGTTTGTTGTTTATTTTTACAAATGGGAATCAGAAATGTAGAGTGCACATTGGTCCCCACTCCTGGAATACTTCGTGAAATACAAGACCTGCTAATGTAATTCTATTAAGAGTTCATTTTACAACCAGTTTTGCTCGTCGAGATAGACCTAACTACCTACCCACCCACCCACGGGCCCCAGTCAAAAACAAAGCCGATGCTAAATTTAAAGTTATAGGGGAGGATTTTCGCAAATGTTTTTGCAAATGCTTGCCCTCTCCCCTTAAAAAAAATTGCACATGCACAACCCACTCCTGAGAGAGAACACCTATTAAATGCGTGCGAGAGCGTGCATGAGGCCATTTTTCCTCGTGCACGCTCTTGTTTAAAAGTTGCTGTTTGCATCTCTCGTTCAAGCTTCCCTTCCAAAAGATTGATGTGAAAAGCACAAACACATAGGAGGGCCTTATGTTAACATATCACCAGAATGATTGACAATTAGGAGGACCTAAGTGGATTTGATGATCCACTCAGAAAAAGAACGTCCTCCGCTATACCTTTAAAGTAAGGGCTATGAAACAATATCCAAAGCCTTAAACATCTCAGCTCTGATAGGCTGGAAAAGGAGAGCATCAATTTGGAAGGCGTCCAAGAGACCTCAAGTGGGAGAACTGTTTTGAGGCTACTTGGATTAGGCCTGGACGATATAGAAAAAAGGTTATCGATTACAAAAAAATGCATATTGATCGATATCGATAATTAGTGAAAAGATTTGAAACCATATTTAATGTGCAGCTCTGCCTGGACATTTTATGATATTGCTAAATGATTTAATTTTGATAAAGAACACAAACACAGACTTCCAATTAAATCTTTATTTAACCAACTTTTTTAGCCATACGCAGAATTGTTTTAAAGAAAAATAACTTAAGAGACCTGAGTTATGTTATTAAATACTGACAAAGAATAAACTAAAGTGACCAGAAAAATAAATAAATAGAATACCCTATTTGGGTGGGAATAGTACACCACCAGCTTGTGGTAATTAAAAGATTTTAGGACTAGGCTACCATGTAAACAAAGTCCACTCAACAAGAACAAAAACCCAAACAAAAATCAACTCTCCCTTTAGCCTAGCATTTCTATGGGGTATTTTTTCTCACCCCTATTCTTCTAGAGATGCTGCTGGCACCCCGTTATGGTTCAGCTTAGTTTCCTGCTTTAACCCGAGTTATTACTTTGAAGTTTCTGGCCCCTCAGCATGTTTCTCTCAATTGTTAGAAGTACGTGGGTAACTGCCCAGAACTGAAAATATATATATATATATATATATATATATTCCCGAAGATTCCTCAGAGGAGAGCCGCACCGGGGCCTACACAGCTCGTACTCCTGCGGATGTGAGCGGCTGAAATGATAAAACACGTTGGTTGTGTTATCAGACTTTGTTTTCACTGGTTCCCTACACATTTTCCAGATGACTGTGGTTTGTTTTTTGTCCGACTTGCCATGACCAAAATACTGCCAAACTGGCGAACTACAAAAACCCTTCTTTGGAACAATTTCCTTCGCCTCTCCTTGCTGCGACATTTTCATGTGCTCTGTGTTGTGGTTTGAGAGGGAAGTAAAACTGCGTTTCTTTATCGAACTTTTATCAACCCTCTTTTTCTATTGCGCCACACGTCTATTGATCGATATATATCGTTATTGAATTATCGCCCAGCCCTAACTTGGATTAATGGCTCTGTTCTGTGGTGCATCTTTCTCTGGAAGCAAACTGTTCATATTTTAAAGTTAATCTTTTTTCAGAGGTTGAAGATGGTGAATAATTTAATTCATGATGTGAGCATACCACGACTTAGGCTTTTCCTTATTTCTTAGTGGGTATGAGGATGAAGATCTGCAGGACATCAGGGCCTCAATGGAGAGACTCCTGCAGGAAGAAAGTGACAGGAGCCCTCCAGATGTCATCGGCGACGGGGATTTTAACGGGAACCCTTCACAAGATGGAGACCAGGAGTTGTTCGACAGAATGGCAGCTGAGCTCGATCAGGACAACAACCAGATGGCTGTAGATGATGATGAGGATGATGATGAAGAGGAGGAGGAGGATGAAGAGGAGGACGAGGATGAAGACGAGGAATGCTCCAACGGAAGTCCTGGCGACGACGGGGCCAGGGAATTGCTTTCTAATGGCGTGGGAGGAGAACGGCAAAATAACAGCAAGCTGAATGAAGAATGGCAATCAGGTAGGAGGGGAGGTCGCATGAAACGAACCACTGCTGGATAAATCCACCTCTTTAGCCTTTTTATCTTCATTTCCTGATGTAAATAAATGCTAATCCTAACATTGCTAAAGAAATGAGCCCTTCTGTTCTAAAATAGATGGAAGTGGAGAAGATCAAGGGGTGGAGGCTGACCATCATGACAGCATCTTCAGTCGTCTGGAGGAGCTTCGCTTTAACTTGGAGCAGCAGATGGGTTTTGAGAAGTTCATTGAAGCTTACAATAAGATTAAGGTACAGATTATTCTTCGGTCGTCTCTAGAAACCTGCCCATTCTTCCTCGCTTTAAACATCCCTTTATTTTCTATCTAAGGCTATACATGAGGATGAAGACGAGAACATTGAACTGGGTTCCAGTTTGGTTTCAAACATACTGGGAACCGAGCATCAGCACCTGTACCCAAACATCCTTCATCTAGTGATGGCAGATGGTGCCTACCAGGAAGGTCGGTGTGTTTTTTGTTTTTTTTTTGTGTTTTTTACAAAGTCTTGAAAAGTCTAGATAACTTTGAAGGACAAAAACTGTATAAAAATTAACATTTTACTGTAAAGGATAACCATGAGACATTTGGAGAAAAATCTGATTAGTGTGTTTTCTTCAGGTTTCTCCTGAAGATAAAACCTTAAGTTCGGGTTTGCCACATCAGTGTTTGTTCTTCACATTTTTTGATCATCTTAGTTTTCTTGGTTATTAATTCACTTCAGTTTATTTACTCAGATTCAATTCACAACACATGTCATCTCAAGGCACTTTACAGGGACGATTCAACCAGATCATTCAGTCAGATTGGTGCAAAGTTTTCTTTATAAGGAAAACCAGCTGATTGCATCGACTCAAAGGCAATCCCTCACACCAAGCACACATGTAGTGACAGTGGAGAGGAAAAGCTCCCTTTTAACAGGAAGAAACCTCCAGCAGAACCAGACTAGGTGTGAGCGGCCATCTGCCGAGGCCGACTGGGTTTCAAGGAGACTGAAGCAGAGATACAGAAAACAGAGACACAAAACGCACTGTCAAACGGCTCCACAGGTGGCCCCGTCCAGGAAACACACAGCCAGGCAGACGAGCTCCGAGCCAGCTCCCATGTCAGAGGATGAAGAGAGCACATCCAGTTAGTCTGTCAGAGAAACAGGACTACACTAAAAAAATAAAAATAAAGCCAAGCTCCAACATTTATAAAGAAGGCATTGATGGCAGCAGCACAGCTGAAATTTCTCTCCAGGATGGAGTCACATCCAAACAGGAGCATGCCAGAAGAAGCTACTATGGAAAAAAGCAGAGGGGGCATAACATTAGAGATTGATCTAACAAATTCTACAGAATGAGAGAATAGAGATAGAATGAATATATACACTCCTTTTTACATGAAAAATGGTTTTACACTTGACCTCTAGATCCTTTAAACTCCAGGTGTTTCTTAAACGGGGCCTTAGAGCACTAAAATTCCTTTTAACTAAATCAGTAAGTCTTTTAGATCTGATATGGATCCATTATAATTGAGTTTGTATTTCTATTACCCGTAATATTCTACATTAAAGTTGGATGTAAATACAATTTTTATCTGGGAAATTCTAGATATAATATAAATTAACGTCTGTGATAATAACAACCAGTGTATTCCTTTTCTTTTTTTTTTTTTTTTTTACCTTATCAGTCTTCAGCACCTCTCTGTCCTCATGACTATTCATGGGTTTCTTATACTTTATCTCAATTGCCTCGATTATTTCTAGATATGTGTCGCGATTGTAAAATCACAATCTTCTCTTCATGTATCGCTGCACCAGCGAGGATGTGATGCTCACCCTCTGGTTCCTCCGCTTTGCCTAATTTGTCATTCTCTGTGCCTGATCGGTTTTCACACCATGGCCACACCAGGAAGAGATGTTGATGGAGGCAGAGGCTTTGAAAGGTTCCCCTTAAGATTCAAACAGTCTGCGGGAATGTTTTCCCTCTGTGACATCTCTTTGATTTTTACTGTTTTAAAGAAAATCTGCACATGTTGAATATCAGCCCTTAAGACTCATCTCAGGATCTTTGTGCTGAATATTTTATTAGCTCCACACGTACAGCAGTGATTATCTAAAAAGTTGTTTAGAGCAGCTTTCTTTCTTTTTTTAATTAGAAATGACTAAATCTGACAATTTATTTATGCTTTTTGAGTTTTGAAAGGAAAAATGTGGAACTTGAAAAGGAAAAATCTGCTGAGTGGATTAAAATGATGTCACATGTACAGGGGAATACCGGTAATGAAAAAAATTGATATTTGGTTTGGTTTATTTCACACTTAACCAGCAATAGCAACAGGACTAGCATGCAGCCTGATGCAGGGATGCAAAATCTAAAATCCATTTTACCATTTTTCTGAGGTGTCAGATTACAAGATGCCATTGAAGGCTAAATCTGGATTTATTTTGGGTTATTTCATTATGATGAATTTTCTCTACAGTCATCTGATTTTTATTTTTTTTTTATTTTTAAATCACCTCCCGCTTTATCCTAAGGTCAGTTTAAGCACATAGTCATATCTTTTTCTTACTAAAGCAATAATCATAGGAGCTGTTAACCTTTTTGTTTTCTTTGAGAATCCTTTAATACTGAACACTGAATCTGATAATCTATTCCAGAAGCGTCCAGACTTTTTGCCACCGTATCTATAAAGGGGTCTGATCATGATGAATGTTACACTTTCAACAAAATATTGACAATTGTACCTGCTGGACAGCGTTTTAACAGGACATTGCCTTATTTTTGTGCAGGATTTGTCCATCTATACTGATCTAAAACATAATGATGGTGACATGTGTTTGACCTTTTCAGAAAAGAAGTCAGAAAAACACTTTTCTTTGTCTGTTTTTCTTTATAAAACCTTGCCTCAATGTTAATCCTCCAAAGTTTTGCATATTTACATTTGTGAAATATATCCGCATCAAACCAACCATCCAGATTTGTGCTGTTCCTGAAATGTGGTCCACGGGCCACACAGAACCTAATCCCTTTCTCCTCTCCCATCTCATTTAGACAATGATGAATAAGGTACTGAGCAGTGGAGCGGCTGGCAGCTGTCTGAGGTCTTCCCACAGCACACGACAAGCAGAAGGATCTATGCATGAAGTATGGCTGCCCTCACATGTTGGCCACTGGTTTGCATGGACCACTTGAGACTATTTCACTTTCAGCACTCTTTTCTAACCAGTGTTTGTTTAAAAGTACATTGTTAAAGGTACAACTTCCTCTGTTGACCAAAGTTCATTTCAGGTGTGTGTAAATGTTTCTTGCTCAATCCTTCCTCAGTTTAATTACACATGTATGTTTGAGCTTTTTCATGTTCTGTTGGTTTTGATAAACTCTATGGTGGCATTTAGTATTGGGGAGGGGGGGGGCTTAAGATCTGACTCTCTCAGGTGCTCTCTTGCTGTGCCACACTCAACCAATACTTCATATTATAAACCCAGGTTAGCCTCAACATAAAGGACTATAACCTACTCAGAAACCAATTATACCTCCCTTTCTTACAGGAATTTCTACCACGTCCAAAATAAATACAGTCTAGCTTAATTTTCTGGATAATTTTTTATCGTTTAAGTTAAATCCAAGCAAAGATTTGTCACTGAGGTACTGTAGCAGCACTGATGATGTTTGTAGGTCTGGTTAGCCTAAATGACTGTCTTAATGATGTAAAATGATTAGGTATATTTGTTTTTTGTTTGTTTTTTTTTTTATTATTATTATTTAATAAACTTTTTAATAACCCAGATTTTGTTTTCTTTCTCTGTTGGAAAGAATTAAGTGGTGTAAATTGAGTCACGCCAGCTTTCTGATGTTACACCAGATGCTCTAGAGCAGAAGTCTTCAACAGGGGGTCCGCAGCGTTACTGCATAGGGGTCGCAAAACTAATTGACATGAATTCAACACGCTGTAGTAAACAGATAAATGGAGGCAGAAGATGTCTTTCAGTCATCAATGCACACATTCAGCAACGCACAGGAGCTCTTTTAAGCTGGGCACCGTTTCATTCACAACACCTGTCCCATCAACCAACTTCAATCAACTTTAAAAATCCCAGGGCCAAATTACTTTCATTACATGACTCCATCTGTAATAGAGTGACTATAGGACCAGTGTGATATAACACAATTTCATACTATATATATATATATATATATATATATATATATATATAATTAGGGGGTCCCTGGTCCATCTCACTATCAGTTTGGGGGTCCCTGGCCTGGAAATGTTGAAGACCCCTGACATAAAGTGAATGTGACCTTGTAGAACAGCTCTGCAACCAGTTGCAAGTGGCTCTTTGGACCCCTACAAGGGCTCCTAACACTGGTTAAAAATGATATAAATATACTAAGATCGCAGAATGACAAGTAAATCTTTCAAAACATTTTTAAAAGTATATTTAAATTGAATTTTCAAATAAGATTGACAATAAAACACAATGTTTTTAGATCAAATTTTCTGGCCTTTGGAAATCATGCAAGTTTGTAATTGTTTGGCTATATATATATATATATATATATATATATACACACACACAAGAAAATATCTGCTTCATCTTTACGAAACGTTTTTCATTATTTTAAAAGCTCAAAATACACAAACTGTTGGTTTGAACTAGCAACAAATTTCCTATGGCAGATCAAATTTTAAAGAAAGTTGTTTTATTCAAACTTTATGTAATATTTGTGGCTCTAAATGGCTTTTTTACTTCGCCTGACTGAGGGCAAAATGGCGCTTTGGATTCTAAAGGCTGCAGACCCCTGTTCTAGTAGTAAATGTGTAGTTTTACATTATTTTTAGAGCACACTTGACTTAAGATAAACAAAATCGGGCATATTGTAAGTATAAATGCAGAGTCATGATTTATTTAAACCCTTACAAAGGTTGCAGCTAATTCTTCCCAAAAATATGACTAATTGTGATAATACACCTTAAATTATTTATGACTCTCCAGAGGTGCCACATTAACTCGATCTGTTTTTCACACACAGTATTTGGGTTGGTTGCTCTGAGGCCTAATTAATATATCCCATGCTCATATTTGTCTGATCTTGTTCATATGTTTGAAGCTTTGCTGTTCTGCTAGCTTTTGTCATTTGCATCTCGGTTGTCATGTTAATTATTCAAAAGATGAAGGCTTGCAAGAATCAGCATGAAAACTGAAATAAGAGCAGCTTTTCTGCTCTGCTAATGCGTATATAATCTTCCCAGAGGAAGACAAAAGGCCATTCATTAGTTAATGCGTTTAGAAATAAAATGATGCAGAATAATTGTCTGGCACAGGCTGTTCAAAAGGGCGGTGGACCTACTGATATTCTAGCACATCTAGATCCCACATCTTCCACTGTTCTATATGTCCAACTCTATATTTGAGCTCATGGATGGTTGTCATTGACGTCTGCCCTTCTGTTTCCAGTTTCAGCTGATTTCCCAGAGGATGGTCAGAGAATGAGAAAAGGATCTTTGACAGCAGAAAAACCTCGACAGAAAATAGAGCGCTTATAAGATTCTTCCCTTTTTTTACAGTTGCTTAACTAAACTAATAGCAGTAATGGATGCTGCTGATGCATTTAATGAGACATAATGATCAAGGCAAAAGGGTCTGATTTCTAGTTGACTGGCTGGTGCATCTCTTGCCCAAATCAAAATACTCACCTTTAAAGTCAGTGTTGCATCAACTTTACCAGTGGTCCTATTGTTTGTTTGACCTCTTCAACAGACCAATATATATCTGAAAGCTGCTCCACTGGATCTGACCCAGTCGACCCATCATAATGTATGCATGTACTAAGTTCATCTCCACGCCCTCTCTGGCCCTCTCAGCAGCAGTGACTCTCAGACAGCAGGAAAACAGACTGCTTTACTCCTTCCTCCACCAAGCTCTGCAGCCTCCCAGCAGCAGGTTGCAGTGTGGGGATTCTAGACCAGTGCTGAGAGCCGTGATATTGACACAGCTGAGAAGTTCATTGGAGCAGGAGCTGCCTCTGTTGGTTTGACTGGATCTGGTATTAGAACGGTCTTTGGCAGTCTTACTGGATTTTTTTTCGTTTCGTTTTTTTATTATTACAATGTTACAAGTACAGAACAAATAAATAACCTCTCTGCATTTAACCCATCTCCTTGGGGAGCAGTGGGCTGCTATTGTGCGTGGCCCGGGGAGCATTGTGGGGTTAAGGGTATTTGCTCAGGGACCCAGAGTCGCAGACTGTGGAAGTGGATCTTGAACTCCGAACCTTAGGATTCCAAGTGCAATGCCCACCCTCCCTAAAGCAGGCATTAGCGTGAAGGGTCTTTCCTAAGGACCCACACTGGCAGCTCCTTCCTCCCAGCTGGGATATGAACCCAGGCTTCCTAACCCAGGAAATGCAAGAAACTCATCTCAGAATCACCAGCTGTTCTTTTATGCCAGGGGTGCTTAAGGGCTCTTATCCTGCAACTTTTTGATGCACCTCATTTTTAACACACCTGAATAGGATGAGTGGCTCATTATCATGCCTCTGCTGGGCTAAATAAGGGGATTGAGCCTTTTGATTCAGGTGTGTTAGAAAAGAGAGGCATCTAAAAGTTACAGGATGGTAGCTCTTGAGGACTGGACTTGAGCACCCCTGTTGTATGCCATCTCCATCTTTGCCCTGCCTGAAGTTATGGGTCTCTTCTGTCTAATTGTTGCATTCCTCATTCTCTTTGCCAGGTAAACACCTTGGCCCTTACTGTACAAGGACGCATCAAAAAGTTAAGAAGAGTCAGCAGTTGAAATAGAGCGATGATTTCAGTCTTCTTTGTAGATTGCTAATCTGTTAAGACTGAACCTCTGATAAACTGAAGTCATTCTCATTATGGGTCTAAACTACTTTGCATTTAATTAAAGGTTTTGTTGACAAACATGCAGCCTAAGGCGGAAGTAAAACACTTAACTCTCAACTTTACCAGGGGTAACGGCAGCAGACATGAAAACATTTCTTTTTTTTAACTTTTGTTAGTTTAACTTCCTGAAATCAGAACATCTTGGAGCCATTCTTTAATTCTCTCTTCTTTCCAGGTCAGCTGTATTGTTAAGATTTTAAGAATCTTCCCCGCTCACTCCCAGCCGTCACATGTCATGTCAATCTTCAGAGGATAGACTCTTCTTTAGAATCCATCTGACATGTTACACCAGCAGTCTTTTACTGAACTGTTGCTGAAACTCTCCTCACCCTGATGTGTCTGCTGCTGTGGGATTTCTTTCTTACAGGAAGATTCAAGCCTTTAAAAGGCAATATATGATTCAAAACGTTTAATCACTTATTTAATATATATCTTTCCCCCCATTATTTATTTATTTTGTATTATTGATTTATCTCTGATAAATAAAAAGGCTGTGAAAGCTGCTTCTTTTTGCTATAAAAATAACTAAAAGGGTATTAATTTATTGAGGCTGCTCGGTGAAGCAGTGGATAGCACTGCTGCCTTGCAGGAAGAAGGTTTCAGGTACAATTCCTTACTGAATGGAGTTTGCATGTTCTCCCTGAGCATATGTGGGTTCTCTCCGGGTACTCCGGCTTCCTCCCACAGTCCGAAAACATGACTGTTAGGTTAATTGGCTTTTTTAAATTCTCCTTAGCTGTGGGTGTGTGTGTGAATGGTTGTTTGTCCTGTTTGTCTCTCTGTTGCTCTGCAATGGACTGGCGACCTGTCCAGGGTGTACCCCGCCTCTAGGCACCAGCACCCCTTCCGACCCCAACTGGGATTTGGCATGACAGGAAAAAAAAGGATGGTGTTAATTTATGAAAGATGCAACCCTCCTGGTCTCCTCAAACTAATTCCAAGCCCTGATCATGATTTTAATCTGTTGCATGCATCTTTAATAAACATTTGGACAAGTGGGCCAAACTGAAATCAAAGTGAGCCAGTTGGCACTTCATTATCAGGTTGATGTATCTTTTCCATATGTATGGGTTTAACAAACATTTCCCTCTGATTTATCTGCTAAAAAGATTTGGTGAGTTGAAGTCAGAATAAATTCAGTTCTCTCAGACATCCTGGATCATGGCTCAGGAAATGCTTTTAAGCTCATTCATAAATGATTGAATCATTTTTTTTCACAGATATTCCCTCCAGCGTTGTCCCATTCAATAAAACGCTGCTGTGACATACGAGATATGCTGAAAGTTTGTGAAGCCTGGCGTCCATAGAAACAATGACTGATAGTCAGATTTTATTAGGAGCTTTAAAAAGAATTGTTTTAAAGTGCTTTGTGGCGTAATGCCAAAAGTTGGTTTTCAGTTTAAAGAGCCTAAGTTTTTTGACAATCACTGAAAGGCTCTTAGTTCTGTGCTCCAAGTTCAGATTGTTTAGTTTTCCTGTCCTGTCATAACTTTTCATCAATTTGATTTAGGTGTGAACTTTGACTGAGTCATTTTAAAAGATTAATAAGATCTGATCTAAACTGAGTCCAAAGTCAGTCTTGCATATTTTAGATCTCTTTTTGAATCAAATAGATGGCTCACTACCATGTCGCTGCAGAACATAAAGACACTGCGAGGAGAAAGTTTAGCCATTTGATGTATTAGAGGAGCGGCACACAACATGCAGGACTCCAGAAATTAAATAACGTCATTTAAATGGTTTCCAGGGGAAGGTTTTTGAAGATCAGTGATCATAGCTTCCCTTTTTTTATATTCTCCCCCTT